TATGGATATATATATATATATATATATAATTGACTGAGATGAGCATATGAATGAGATGAAATATATATTATATTTGCATGTGCATTTTGACTATGATGTTCACCTTTTATGGTACTAGCAGGGGATAATGCTGTAAAAAAAACTCACCGTTGACAATCAACTTGTGTTCGATTCATTCTTTAAGCAAGTGAGTCAAACACAAAAGAAAATTTTGAGCTCAATTTGTAAACAATCCATACACATTCAAACTTTTGTTCGATCGTGTTTGGTTCGTTTTGGCTCCAATTATTTCAATAATAAATAGACAACACATAAAAAGTTAAAATAGTGACATCTTTGATATGATATAAAAAATTTATTTTATATAAATATAAAAAACAAAATTTAGGTATTAGATATGTAATTGCATACGAATTGGGTAGCATGGGTGCAAATGTCACTAGCATTTTTACACATGCGATTCATGTTTAGTTTATTTAAGATTGAAGTTTTAAAAAATTTGTTCAAACTTATTTATTTACTAATTTGAACGAACATGATTGAGTCTTAATTGAGTCGAGATTGAGTTGTTCATCGAGTGCATTGACTCATTTACAGACCTACCCCCGCCTTCTTTATTTAATTCCACATCGTGAATGATTTATTTCTTAGTGTTGTGTATATGTTTAAATGGAGAGTACTTTGAAAATTTACAGCCCATATCTCTTGTTGGTTTGATCGGGTTGAACACCTTTTTTGAGCTTATTTCGAATATATCGAGCCTAACATAAATATTCATGAACCATTTCGAACACAAGCCTATTTATAGCCATAAAAAAATTTGAACTAAGCCGAACATGAACAAATAGTGGGCTTGCTCAAGCTCGATTCGTTTACACTCCTAGCGGGGAAATCTAAGACTCCCGTGCATATAAATGAAACATGTTATTGATGTTTGAGGTACCTACAAGTACAAGTTTTAGATGATGCTCACATGATAGATGTATAGATATAAAATGATATATATATGTTATTAATATGGTAAAACACATTGGGTGTTTTGAACTGCCCTGAACTATCATATATTAAAAAGTAAATCGTCTAATGCTTTTCTATTGATTTATAGTAATTATGTCAAACATGTATATTATTTTTTTTTATTATTATTGTTACGTTACTATTATATAATAGTAGGTGTACTTACTGGCTTTTGTAGCTCACTATTGTTCTAAATTTACTTTTTAAGGTTAAGCTTTTCTGTAAAGTTGAATAATAGAGAAGATAATATCTATATTAAGGCGTGGACAACCCGAGTTAAGACATTTAATTTATAGTAGTTGTGGCTCTTTCATTATTTTGGGATGATTAAATTTTAATAATAAAAAATAAAAATATAAAATTGTGATTATCACCATTCGGACCATCTATTCCTGTCCTGGAAAATTTCAAGCCTCGTTGGCTTTTGGAGCTCATTTTTATAAATTTTCTTTTCACAGTTAAGCTTTTGTGTAAAGATGAATGATATAGAAGAGAATCTCTATGTAAGGCATGGACAACATTTCTTAAGGTAGATTTATCATTTGTTTAATTTAATTTTTTAAATTTGTAGTGGCTTTTACACTTATTTTGGGATGATTGAATGTTAGTTATAGAAAATAAAATTAAAAAATTTTGATTATCTTCATCCAAACGTTTGTTTCTGTCTTGGAAAATTTCAAGTTCCGAGCGAAGCCATATTATGAAATTTCTCAACTTACGTACTGAGAATCTCTCTTTTCATAAAAAAATAGGGTGGATTATAAGGGGATTTCAAGGTGTCATCTATAAAATGTGTTGAGTAAACCTTTTCATTGAAAAAATTCGCCAAAGAGAAATTACTAGTGATGTTGTAGATATGGATGCGTGTGAAACCCCCAAGTAGAATGAAGGAATTCTTTAACATCGGAGCGCCTTTTGGTGTACTAGTGGTAATTTCATCAGACACTCCAAAGTTAAGTGTGCTCGTGCTGGAGCACTTCTTGGATGGGTGACCTCTTGAGAAGTTTCACCAATTGGACAAAATTGGAAGGCCATTAGGCGAAAGTGGACAATATCTTGATGGGCGAGAGTTCTGTTACAATGCATGTCACATTCTTCTTGATCGGCCTTTGCAATACGGCATCAATGCCTCGCATAAAGGAAAAGGGTATAGTTACTCATTCCAATGGTAGGATAAGAAAATTACTTCCTTCCCTGTGCTGCAATGAACTTTCCTGACAGTGAATTTCTCATGGTTAAAAGGAATAGCATGGCAAAATTGTCATGCTTGTGGTTGATAATTAAATGCACAATACAACGTTCCTTCAATTACTCACCTGAGATTGAACAAGTGCTGAATGAGTTTTTGAGCTTTTAAATGATAGATATTCCAAACCGGACAAACTCCACTGAGATGTGCAGCACAATATTGATCTAATTTCCAGATCTAGCCTACTTAATTTTTAATATCACGGCATGAGTCCAAAAAATCATGAGACACTTCAAAATATTTTTGATGACTTGTTGGCCAAACAACTGATCATAGCAACCCTCAATTCTTGCATTGTGCGTGTTTGTTGGCTCCTAAGAAAAATGTCGTTTGGAGCATGTTAAATACAAATTTTTCATTCTTAGACTCGAGGTTATCCTTGATAAATTGGGAGGGCTCCGCATCTTTTACAAACTTAACCTTCTATCCTCAATTTTGTACAATGCAAGTGTCTAATGGAAGACTACATTCAAGATGGAAGGATTTCATGAATGGCAAGTAATGTCATTTGAATTGTGTTACATATTAAGCACCTTATGTATACCTAATGATGTAAGTATTGAAGCATTTTTTTTTATAAGTTTGTTGTGGTATACTTCGCTGATATTCTAATCTATGACAAGACAAAAGTAGATCACCATATTCACTTAGTAGTAGACCCTGTATGCCATAAAAAAGAATAAATTGTAGCTCAATTCGAAGAAATGTGTTCTTATCGAGGAAGTATTATCGGGCTTCATCATCAACAGTCATAGCTCAATTTATGTCGTTTTTCTTTCTCATTCCTCGGTACTTATCTTTTCTGCTAAACTCAACTTTTTCGGGCAATTGAGCCTTTTCTGAGCCAGCTATGCAATGTAATCAAAATGTAGCGTATGGACTTGGAAGTTTTGGTTTACTGCAACTCATTATTTTTTAAAATTTGTTCTGCTTTGTAAATAAAATTCAATCCAGAATTAACTCATTGTGTATATATATTTGTTGATCCAGAATCTCTCCCAGCTCGCATCGATCAATTATGATTTGCTTAATAAGGGCTGGAAAGATGGTCAATCAAAACCAGATTTTTAATCTTGCTCTCTCGAAGTTCTCATTTTGTTAGGAGCGGAACAGTGGGGAATAAGAGCTTTGTCAACTATACATTTTCGTTGTAAATGTATGTTCATGCAATATTGCATTCTTTTGCTCCGTTTATATTAAATGTCAAACATACCACGCAATTTTTGTGTAAGGACATATCTAACACCCAAAGTTTAACAGTTACATTTATAACACCCTAGTGCCATAAACCAATGCATGAAAAGGTGTATTTCACATACAAAGATGGTGATTTTGATATGATGTGAAAGATTTGAGTGGTATGCATGTAAATATGAAAGTTTTGGTGTTAGATAAATAAATACATAAGAATTCCATGGCATGTATGTAAATGTCCCTAAATGTTTAGTACCATCCTTATTCTGATTTCCGTCTCATGCAGAGGTAGGAGCTGAATCTGCTAATCCGGAGATTAATCACTTCGCTTTCTTGTGGAGATGTAAAGTTCTATACAATAGTTTTCTAGAGTTTTAGGGTTTGGGACAGTAATGATTTTCCTCTCTCTCTCTCTCTCTCTCTCTCTCTCTCTCTCTCTCTCTCTCTCTCTCTGAGTCCAGGTGACAAGTGGGTAGACAGTTGAGTTGTCGGTTGTATGTCTCATTTGTCCTTGGCTCTTCCTGCGAGGATTGCTAACACGTGTGTAATTGTATTCCTTGCCATGGCACGGTGCTATGTATATGGTTTGGGGCAACTTGTGTGTTTCAGGATAAGCTGCTTATCCTGAAACGCGGCCCGTGGGCCGGCCGCAGGGGTCGGCCCGCGGCCTGCGTTTAGTATAAAAACTCAAACGCAGTTTCTGATAAGTTGGCGAAAAGCGCGAACCAAACGGTATGACGGCGTTTTGAAAACGCCGCCCGCACTTATAAGCTGCCCCAAACGGACCCTAAGTCTTGATAAAATTTTAATTTTGATTTATTTTAAGATCAATGCAATACATCTTAAAAAAATTAAAAATTTTAAAATCTATCATTAAAAGGAAAACATGTGCTCAATATTTAATATAGATTTTCAAATATTTAAAAATTGGTTCTCATTTCAATTTTTTAATTTATTTTAAGATCAATGCAATGCATCTTAAAATAAATTAAAAAAAATTAAAATTTATTATTAAAGAAAACTAAGCACTCAATATTTTAAATTAGATTTTCAAATTTTTAAAAATTGGTGCTCATTTAAATTTTTTAATTTATTTGAAGATACATCTTAAAATAAATTAAAAATTTTGAAAATCTATTATTAGAAAATAAACGGAGTGCTCAATAATTAATAATAGAATTTTATCTTTTAAAAATTGATGCTCAATAAAAAATTGAAAATCTCAGCCAACTTGTCCACTTGATTTATTCTTAGCTTTTAATATAGATATTTATATTTACACGCACAAAAAAAAAAAAAGTAGTACTCAATATTCAACCGGCAGTTTTTCAAATTAGTGGTAACGGTAGCTTCCACGCTGCTGCTTGTATGAAACAATTTTATAGAAATTGAACTTTCAAACGTACGAGCAGTTTATTTAGTGCGGCGACGTTTTGAAAATATACTTGTTTTGATTGGGTAAATTATGTTTTGATAGTTTGTGCGTTTTCGAAACGAAACGTTGTAAATAACGATTTCACACCGCACCGATCTAGGTGCGGTGGTAGCTTTCAGGCTGCGGTCTAATTTTTCCATAAAAATAAAAATTTGTAATAGCTATTCTACCTAGCTTATTAGTAGATTATTTTTAATCAGTTTATCAACAAATTATTCAATAAGCTAAAGCTACCCCAAACAGACCCTTCATCTAATGACAGAAGCCTATGTATGACTGACTTTGTATAAAACAGAAAAATTAACTGTGGGAAGCTAATTGTTTTCTAATAGCGGCAATTACTTTAATACAACTCAATTCTTATGTGATTGCATGTCTTAGAGTTTGTTTGGGGCAGATGCAACTTATCCACATTATGGTAATAAACTATTTATCTTGATAATCTGCTGATAAGTAGCTGATCTGAATAAACTGACTGACAGTTTGGTTTGTGCGTTTGAAAAACAACTGATTCTGAATAAATGACTAATATGTCTCTATTCTGCATAAGTTGTTTAGTTGTTTGGTTTGTATGTTTTGTAAACAGCTGATTTGTAAATTTTTTTAGTTAAATGAAAAATCTGACACACAAAAGTTGTAATGTTATCAACAAAAATTGCAATATCTACTTCTTAGCTCTTTCAGAATCAATTAACCCACTTCAGACTCATTCGACATATACGAACCACCAAAAAATTGCTATTTATAAATTTGCCAACCTTCTTAATGCAACCATATAGGGGGGATAAAAATAAAAATTGATGAATTCATAGAAGAAAAATTTACTCATTTCCCAATCACAAAGAGGGGAATTGGACACTCACATGCATAGAGCGGGGAGGGAGGGATTCATGGACAATAAAATCAATAGACTTAAAAAGTAAAGAAAAAAGTTAAAAAAACTAAATGTAGTAGTGTCCAACTATCAGCAACCTCATTCCAACCGATAAAAAATATTGACCATAACCATTTTAAGCTTCATTTAACATAAAAAACATTGGCCGTCCAATCCTATTACAATCAATAAAACAGATTGGCCATAACCATTGCTTGACTTATTGTGGCCGTCGAACCCCGTGCAACCTTGTCCGATTGGGATAACGTAGAATTTGAAGGGTTGTCAGCCCACCTGAAGAAGCCGCAGACGTCTGGTCCATGTTTCCACCTCTCTATCCCACATGACTGATGATCTGACCTCTTTAGTTTCACTCATTTTGACTGTGCAATAAACATGCTATCATGAAATTAATACTATTCAAGAGAGAAAACGTCAACCAAAAAATTAGATGGAATAATAAAGATCGTGGAAATTGAAAAGAATAACTAATATTGTATAAAGAATGTACTAGGATTGCTAGAAGATAAACAATTAATCCTTAATACATCAACATTATTAGAGTATAAAGAGGCTAAGGCAAGACAAAATATCAGTCATTTGCGATACCAATGAAAGAGTTAACCACAACCACTCAAAGAACTTCACTTTTCCCATCCTACCGATAAACTGGAATCTAAGGGTCTGTTTGGGGCAGCTGCAGCTTATCCAGCTTATGCTGATAAGCAGCTTATCCTGATAATCTGCTGATGAACAGCTGATCTAGATAAGTTGGTTGGCTGTTTGGTTTGTGAGTTTGGAAAACAGCTGATTCTGGATAAATGAATATTCTGCCCCTGTTCTGAATAAGTTGTTTAGTTTGTGTATTCTGCCCTTATTCATAATCACTCCATACACACGATAATACCAAAATGAAATTCATAACTGCAGCTCATTCATTTCCAAATCTTTCAAGAGAAAACAAAGAGATGAAGCCATTAAACTTCTATTTTGCCTCTTTTTGCATCAGCCATCCCAATGCAGAATCAACTTTGATTTCCAACAACCATCTAAACGCAAGCATGGCCATGGTGCACCTTATTCAGAATCTACTAATACAAAAAACCAACGTAGCAGGACAACAATTTTGGGTTATCTATTACTGTAAGATATGCATCCACAAATGAATAAAGCATTAAGCAAATCAACGACCCTCTAATAAAAATAAAATTTTTTCAGTGCGAGCCCCTGTAACATCCTTCAAATTTTCCAGAAAATGTATTTGTAACAACTCCCCAACTCTACAACCATTCTTAACAGAAAATGTATTAGTGTAAGGATCATTGAAAGTGGATTGATGAGCTGCCTCGAAGTTTGGTATTATACTTGAATAAATTCAATTATCTCTAAACTCTCTCTCTCTCTCTCTATATATATATGTATATATTCGTATTTGAATACAGAGTGATTTACATATAAACTACAAAATTCCTATGCTAGAAACCATCAAAAACAAAGAAAATCAAATTGTAGGCTGTAGAGCCAAATCCTAACAAAGAAGATGCGGAATGAAACACGGATCTGATTAGGATATTTCAGGACAAATGAAGAGGAATGAAACGGAACGAAGTGCAACGAAGAGGAGGTAGGGCACGATACTTACCTCGGTCGGAGAGGTACGGAAGGATGAGAAAGATGGGCGTTTCGGCGGTCTCTGTAACGAGGGATCCCTTCGTTGTCATCGCAGTTTCGTCGCGGAAGAGAAGGGATCGCGAGTGGAGGCAGAGCAGAAGCGAGGGGGTCAAGAGATCCGTGCGAAAGGACTCTTCGATGACAACGGTGGAGGTATTGTAGTTCGATTCGCCGGAGGTGGAGGGGGTAAGCTTCTCAGCCAGGTGGCCAGCGGCAAGCTTTGATTCTTCGAAGGGAGGAGCAGTTCAGTGACCGAAGAAGAACGAGGAGCGGCAGGCAGAGGATACGAACGAACGAGGGGAAGGAAATGCTAGCGAACGAGGGCAGCGGAGTAAATGGAGGGGAACGAAACGCAGATCGCGGCCTCCCTTCCACGGGCGGCGTTTTTCACAAATGCAAAACGCCGTTTTTTGATAAGTTGATAAAACGCGTTAAACAAACACAACGGCGGTGTTTTTGAAAACGCCGCCGCACTTATAAGCTGCCCGAAACGGGCCCTAACATAAACTTTAACTGAAACACCTATATTTCACATTACTCCAAAGATATCACAAATTTATACAAAATAAACCCATCTATATTTCAAGTTATAAGAAAACAAGATAATTAAGAATTTTCATACACCTGCATATGTATATATGAATTAGATGTTCATGCATTTACGCATCTAGAAACTGAAATTTTACTCCCATTTTTTCAAAACTCATCAAAATTAATCCTTCATTTGTGAGGAAATTGATTTATGTACAAGGAATTACCATTTGAAGTAGCAGATATGTGAATATATATGGATTGGATAGAATCCCATTGAGATAAAAGTATATGAAATTAGCAAGGCATAAAAAATGAAGTCCTGAGTAAGAAGATGATTGTACAGCAACTTTGTGACCCATCTGCAAGACAAACAGACCTAGCCAACACTGTCAACCATCGCCAACTTAATCGGCTGAAACAGAAACGCGTAGATACAAAATGGGTTTTTATTTCTTATTTTAAAACATAAAAGATCAAAAAAAAAAAAAAAAAAAAAAAAAAAAAGCCAAGGCAGTCATCTAAACCAGAACAAGCCACGATCATCTAAACAATAGTTTAGGGTTTAGGGATCCAAGACAATCATCTAAACGAGAAAAAGCCACGATCATGCCAGAATGTCAATTGCAAGATAAGTAGTCAAGATTGCCACAGATCATCATAAACAACATTACCCTTGCGCTTAGGTTTTACGGCAATGAGGGGAGGGGAGGGAGGAGAGGAGGGAGGAAGAATTTTTTTACTAGAGTAGAGCAGCTTCTCGGCGATATAGAAGCGGCGGCTAGGCACGGTCGATGGAAAATCTAGGGCGCCGATGGGGGTTAACGACGAGAGCATGGGCGTAAAAGCTGGTGTGCGAACGCGATACGCAGGGTAATGCCATAGTCCGCGTTTAGTTTAACTGTAAAACGTTGTTTTTAAAAACACTATCAAA